GGATTTTTGCATGTCCAGGATCTACTTCTGTTTCTTAAGCTTACTATTAATAGTAGAGGTTCACAAATATGGTAAGTATGGACTTAGATTATATTCCTAAACAGAAAGGTTGTATATAGGTTATATATGCTGCAGTGTGTATATGAGCCAAAAAAAAAAAAAAAGCACATTTAAAATGAAATAGACAGCAAGTAACTCCTTTCTCATGATTACACAGCAATAATTGCTAAAGACTTTTTTGGTCCATTTAACTTTTAGGTGAAATCTTTGTTCTAATCTAGATTCCTTTTTTTTTTTTGCTAGTGGGTGAGAGGCATATTCCTTAACTGATAAATTTTGGATGGCATTAAAAATTTTTCTTTTTATCTCATGTTGAGAATTATTTTGATTTTTCTTTTGGTGGTCTTGGGATTCTTTAAATTGAAAAGCTATTTAAAATGTAATATTACCTGCCTTCACTATGTGATGCTGGGCTATTTTTCTACTTTCTCTCTGTTCTGTGCTGTATCTGGTTGCTATTCCCCAAATACAATCTGTACTTTGCTGCCTTATTGTCTTAGTTCATCTGACCCCTGGTCTCCAAGTACCATTTCCTTCTTTTCTTTCTAGTAATTACCTGCATATTCTCTATGACCCAATTCTTTATAAATCTCTATAAATTTACTTCTCTATAGATTTCTGGATTATTCTTCCCTAGGTCCCCAACAGCATTAATTATTCCTCTTTTTGTTGTCGGAATCGACTCGACGGCCTCAGGTTCGGTTTCTGTTGTCATAGCATGTTACACAGGTGGCTCTGGCAGCAAGTATGAATCATAGATACCTGTAGTTATTAAGAGTGGGGGCGGTGTGTTATCCATCTTTGTATCTTCTAGGACAAGCATTTATTTAACATCTGTTGAGTTGAAATGCTTTAAAACTCCGTGATTCTAATGATTTTAAGAAAACAACTTGCTTCGTTCAATTCCTTGATAATGGTCGCCCTCTCTGTGTTTCTCACATACACTCTTCCCACCTGTTCCATTGTGGTAGTTGGTTTATATAGAATCAGTTTAAGAACAGTTTTGATCACTTCATGCAGAGCGCACTCAAGAAAGTTGGCTGCTGACTCTGCCCTGATGTTTAGCTTTGAGTTTCATTTCTCTCCTGTCTTCCTGCAGGACCCTAACAGGAGTGTTCACACCAGCAGCAGCAGCAGCAGCAGCAGTAGCAGCAGCAGTAGCAGCAGTAGCAGCAGCAGCAGCAGCAGCAGCAGCAGCAGCAGCAGTAGCAGCAGCAGCAGCAGCAGCAGTAGTACCAGTTTTTCAAAGCCTCACAAATTAATGAAGGAGCACAAGGAAAAACCTTCTAAAGACTCCAGAGAACATAAAAGTGCCTTCAAAGAACCTTCCAGGGATCACAACAAATCTTCCAAAGAATCCTCTAAGAAACCCAAAGAAAATAAACCACTGAAAGAAGAAAAAATAGTTCCTAAGATGGCCTTCAAGGAACCTAAACCTATGTCAAAAGAGCCAAAAGCGGACAGTAGCTTACTCACCGTCACCAGTGGACAGCAAGATAAGAAGGCTCCTAGTAAAAGGCCCCCCGTTTCAGATTCTGAAGAACTCTCAGCCAAAAAAAGGAAAAAGAGTAGCTCAGAGGCTTTATTTAAAAGTTTTTCTAGCGCGCCACCACTGATACTCACTTGTTCTGCTGACAAAAAACAGATAAAAGATAAATCTCATGTCAAGATGGGAAAGGTCAAAGTTGAAAGTGAGACATCAGAGAAGAAGAAATCAACTTTACCACCCTTTGATGATATTGTGGATCCCAATGATTCAGACGTGGAGGAGAATATGTCCTCTAAATCTGATGTGAGTAGTCTTGTTGATTTCCCTCCTTTCCTTTATTGTTTTTTCAGATTTTAGTTCAGATAGCTTCACGATAAATAATGAAGAAAGAAAAGAAACGTCAGACCACTAAGATGGTAGCATGGAAGTAGACACGGCCTAGAAATGAGTTTCCTTAACTAATAGAAGGGAAGAAATGAAATCACTGAGGAATCTGCAGATTTTCAGGCTGTGATTAAAGTTATTAAAGGAAGCTATATTCTGTAGTATGGTAATGGGTCATTTGAAGAGCAGCAGAAAGATTTAGGTACTCCTTAGAGCTTGATTACTATGTTTTCAAGGATTTGGTTTAGGAAGGTGAGAGGAGTGCAATAAAACTTGAATACAAGTGAACATAATTTAAAAGAGAAACAGAAAATATTGGGGTGCAGCCATGTTGCTCTTCTGTTCAGTGGATGAAGTAACTTGTGATATAGATGGAAAGCTGGTGATAGTATTTTTTACAGCTTTATTAATGCAAATTTTATATAACAAACTACACATATTTAAGATTTATTATTTGATAAGTTTTGACATGTATATATGTCTGTGAAACCAAGTGGCTATTTTGAAAATTAAATGTTTACATTTTTTCTGCATCATACAGCCCCTAATTTGAAAGGGTCAGCATGATCTTCACTAAAAGTTTTTGTCAGTGGATGCATTTTCCTTTGTAGGTGCCTATCTGACCGTCGTATTAAAAAAAAAAAAAAAGTTACCTGATAGTGGGATTTAGTCTTATAATTACAGATTTCTCAGAGTTGAAGGGGACTTTCGGTTTATCTCGTCTAACTTCTTACCAGTGGAAGAAATCTTATCACTTCTAGTGACAAGACTGTTGGTAATTCAAAAGACGTTCTATCTATTTCTGGAGAATAAACATTTACTGTGACTTTATGTTCATTTTTCTCTTTCTTCAACTTTGGCCTTCTTCAGTTACTTGTCAGTCATGATCAGCCCCAATAATCTTACTTTTGCTTATTAGAATTTTTAAACAATGGTCATATAAGATGGCTGGCCAGATATTGCTGACAATTTCAGAAAACTTTTCTTTCTACCCTATGGGGTTGTCCCACAAGTGTCCCCAGTTCAAATTCTGACAAGGGGTAGGAGGCTTTAGTAGCAGCTTCCCTGTCCTGAATTTGCATTGACTGTTTTGGCTAGCCGGGGTCAGGACATGGTGTTGACACCCATCCTCAGAGTGGTCCATAGGCCACCTACCTCCTCCTTCCTCTCTATAGCCAATCTTGACATTTTAACAGAAGATCAGTTAGGAGC